CTCTCACTAACACATAATCACTATCACTCTCATTAACACATAATCACTATCACTCTCACTAATACATAATCACTATCACTCTCACTAACACATAATCACTATCACTCTCACTAACACAATCACTATCACTCTCACTAACTCAAAATCACTATCACTCTCACTAACTCAAAATCACTATCACTCTCAAAATCCCTATCACTCACTCTTAAAATCACTATCACTCACTCGCTCACACACACAATTCTATAAAGGTTGGTCAACTCACAACAGATGATCCATATGAAGGAGCTCCAGGTTTGGGCATCGGATACCAATCTCCTCCTGAGAACCGATGTCGACAGTCTGACAGTACGATATCTTTAGTTCCTATGATTAAAAAGAAAAGCAAAGTAAGTAGTTTTCTAGAATTATTAAGTCTTGAATTATTTGATACAAGAGATGTATATATATTTTTTTCCTGTAATATGATTTTTTCTAAAAAAAATTTCAAAGATAGAAACAACTATGTATTAATGAACAATAAGCATATACTCTTAATATCAACCCGTTCTTCCGTTCCTGTATAATCCAAGTCCCACTTTGTTTATATAATTTTATGATATATGTCATACTGGCACCAGAACCAGGATGTAATTGTACACATCAACTAACAGATGTAAAATAAAGAATTCAATAAGGTATTTTCTCAACAAACTATGACCCAAGATCTTATTCTGAAGCCACAGATTGAGTAGTAGTTAAGTTCCAGGGCATTTATTGTTTTGTCAACAAACTATAATCAGTTCCTTACAGTGTGACAGTGACATACTACAGGTGTCTGATGCCATATTCAATTGCCTATGGCAACAGTTTTTGAAATCATACAAGACCTTGAATTTTTAAGGAATGAATTACTTAAAAGTGTTTTTCTAAATTTATACAGTTATATATATATATATATATATATATATATATATATATATATATATATATATATATATATATATATATATAAATATATATATATATGTATTTTTTAAATAATAACCATAAAAATAAGTATTGCCAAAATATATTGCTGGAATCCTCAGTTTGAAAAAAAAAAGAAAAAATCAATCCATCATATACACACTACCACTGGCAAATGTGAAACTGGTGTCAGGTCAGCTTGGAAGAGAAATGGTCTACTTACGAATATCAGTGAAGAGAAGTTTAAAAATGTGTTACATAACTATCACAACATTATCTACATTCAGTCTACAAAGATATAGCAATATAAAAACTTCAATTATCATTTCCCTAGTCATAAATAAAATGTAATTTACCTTCAAAGTTTCTGGAAGTCTCTTAAAACATCTTCCATAGATGGGACAACTTGATATATTTAGACTCTCCAAGTCTGGGTAACTTAACAATACAGTACTTAGTGCTTTTTCATCAAAGTCGGGGCATTTCTGAAAAGATGGAAGGTCAATAGTTAATGGTACAATTGTGTCAGTGTTGTAAAGTGTTTGAAAAAAAACATATGTGAAATATTTTAGGATGCAATAAAAGACAATCAGTTATATTACCTACATTACATTACATTGCAGTGTCAGGGAGAGATACTGAGAAAAAACCTATATCAAATATGTGGGATTTTCCTAGAACTGCATTCAATAATCATACATATTTTAGAAAATATTTCTTGAACTCTCTTCAAAAAGAATGGACCATAATCATCTACCATTAATAAAAACAAGGAAAATTTAAAGAATGCATACATTAAAAAGATTAATTAAGGTAATTTGAGCAGGATAAGACTAATGGAAAAAAATGTGATTCCTGTAAACTTACCATGCGACGACTGTATAAAAAAAATCCCACTTTAATATTGATTTGGGAGCAAATTCTTAAAATATAAGAGCCCAATAAAATAGTACTGCTTATCCCCTATGATCCAGATGACATGATCGTGATGACCACGTCACCTGTATCATGAAAAAATTTGCCTAGAAGGGTGGGTTACATGAACATGCCATCTTGGAAAAAAAACTGACTGAGGGCCAAGGTGATGGGAACATGCCTTCTTCAGAATTTTGGCTGAAGGTCAGGGTGATGTGAATGACTCATCATGAGTGCACTGATAAATAAGAGTGGAATATACCATCCATGACCCATGACTGGAAGAATGCTAGCTCCAGATATTTCTATACTAGGAATCCTATTCCTGCCCACCGTGACCGGCAGCGCAGGTTGTTACAAAAAAAATTAATATTAAGAAAAAATAGTCATGGACTACCCAGAGTGATGATACAAAATCTGTGTAAGTTAAACAATCCCTTACCATCCAGATACAACATATCAAGTGACAAATACAGACATAGGAAAAAGGCAAAAAAGCTAAAAACATCTAGGCAAAATATAAAAAAAGATTAAACTAATATTAACCCATTGCCGACGGGCATGCCATGCCATGCCCACTGAGAGATTACTTGTTGGATTGTTTTTACACATAGATGGCTACACTTGTACTAAATTA